TAATGATAAGGTGGTAAACTCAACACTAGAGCACCTTTCTGATTGAACAATGTATCAAACTTAAATTTTTTATGTTGCATAACATTTTGTTTTATCAAATACAGAAGTTCAACTTTTCTTAAAAAATCACAGCAAATTATATTGTTGAGAGCAGAAATTTTTACTTTAGAGCTGGAATTTTGTACATGAAAGGAAACTTTCCCTTTTTTTTTCGTTGATGGAAATTTTGTAAACACCCCCCGTAGAAAAACTCCTTGCGGCATATTGGAGCAGAGATCTCCTCCAACTATAACAGTTAGGCGGGAAACTTACACTTACCTGTCATGAAATGCAAGTCATCGTCAACAAACGGATGGCTTTCCCACACTAACACTATAAAAGCTGGTGCTACTGGAAACATAGGGCGGACCAACCCAAGGAAGTTATTGCTGTACTTGTGTCGTCAATCTCCGTGTTCAGGAATGGAATCCCGTTGGAGAAGACATACGACCGCCATACCTGAGCCACCCCCTCCAGTCTTATACATAGAGGTATCTGTTAGAACTTTGTGAACTCTCTCCCCCGAGTAGCATTTTATCGCATTTAACCAAGTAGCATTTAGTCAGATAGACTTGTAACCGAATTTTGTATGTTAACTTTAGTTAATTAATAAATGTTCTGTTTGTTAACCTTTCAACCTGTCGATCTTTTTTCCCATAAAGACACCCATCCACGTGCTCACGACTTCCCCATCACTTTTTGCCCTCCTAAGCCATCCACCAACGCAGAGATCGGGTTTTAACAACCTGTGCAGTGTAAGTGGTCATTAGGGATTGTCCCTCTGGCCCTCTGCTTATCTCACATTATGTAAAGCAAGCCAATCCATTAATTCCTGTTTTGTGCTTAAGAAATTTGGAATTTTGTTTACTGGAATAGAGTGAAGAGCTGAATTATCAATTATCACAACAGCATTTTTGGGAATATTGGATAATAATTTCTCAGAAGTCCATTTTTCAAAAATAAATGAATTCATCTGCCTGCAATAATCATTATAATGGTAGCATTTGACCTGTAAATTAAAGTAGTGTTTGGAAGAAATTCGGTTTCATTTCCAGCACATTTTCGGCATACATCTCTCTTCCGTTGGAAGAGGGGTGTATGCCCGAAACACACATCAGTGTGTAAAATATTCCTGAATAAAGAGTGATGTTAAAGGCGCAGTACCTAGTGTCTACCTATGCACCTAGTTGTGAACTAAAGAATAATTAAAAGAAGACAGTTTTGGAATAAGTCAATAAGGTTCATTTCTCCTTACGTATCCTGGAAAATGATAAGAACAATCATTTATAGATTTGGAATTTAATATACAGTGATACCTCGGTTTCATCGATAATCCGTCCAAAAACAATCGGCAAAATCTGAAACCGACAAAAACCGAGGCAATTATTTCCATATGAATCAATGTAAATCCAATTAATTCGCTCTAGACACTCCAAAATACATACCAAAAATACATTTTATAGAGAATGAATATAGTGTTGTAATACTAAAAACAATAAGAAATTAATATAAAATGAATATAAAAGAATATATGAATATATATATATAATATAAGAATATACATATAATGTAGAGAATAAATGAACATTTAACATGGCATTTGAAGGACTGTTGGCTCTGAAAACTTTCTTTGATCTCACAATGAAGCTAAAAGTAAAGCAAAGCAATGGAATTGTTTGACTAGATGCACAGGGTAATGCTCACACAATGAAAAACGACGACATACTGAACAGGAAAATGAGTGGGTCGCCCTATGTTTTTGCGAAATTAGCAGGAAGTTATGTGGGCACGAAATCCAAGACAACCAACAAAAATCAAGACAAATTTTTTGTGAAAAAAAATTGATGAAAACAAAACCCGACAATAACCGAAGTCAACAAAAACAGATATTACTGTATATATTTTTTTATCTTCATCTGATAACTTATCAATATAATCACACATTTCAAATAGAACTAAATGATGAAATCTAAAATACTTAAATGTCAGAATCAGGGCTGTGGAGTCGGAGTGGTGGAGTTTTGATGTTTTAGCTGGAGTCGGATTGGTAAGGAAAAGTCGGAGTCAGAGTTGGAGTCGGTAGATTTTTACGCGACTCCACAGCCCTGGTCAGAATACTTAAATATTTTAATATTGTAATATTTATAATAATGCTTAAAACTTCGCAATCTAACTTTTCAGCATTTTTTAATGAAAATGTTCACATCACTAGTAGACTTCTATTCAAAAGTTACTGGCACTTTATTCTTACATCTTTATTCATCATCCTTACATCCAGATACCTTAAGTCTTGATGACATTGTTACATATCCACAAGATTTTTAGATGATTTACAATTATGTAATTAGTGGCATGGTGGCATACTCAAAAAATAAATAAATAAATACCATAATCAAATTTGTAAACAAACTCAAAAAATGAGAATTAAATAACAAATTTATATATTCAAGAAGGAAAACTTTAAATTCTATAAATTTTTTTAATTCAAAATTTTTATATTCCCCAGGAAACTTATTCCAAGAAAATTTCAGCAATGCTATAACTTTATAAACATTACTATTTAAAATAAAATCGCCAAATTTATTTATTTTTCATGCACATAACATTGTAACAATCTATACTTTAGAACCAATCTGATGATATTCTCTCATGTTTTTTTTTATTTACTAATGACGACAGTAAATGAAATCTGTATTTTTAATCCCCAAAGTGTCTGTTATCACAGCTGTAAACATCAGCAACTTATTCCAATAGAATTTAAGACTAAAATATATATTTAAAGCTGTTCGAGACCTGTTCGGATTAGCCAAATAACTGAAATAATACAGAAGCAATCAGTAAAAAAGGTCCGGTTTATACAGATCCAACACCATTAATGACTTTTGTTTCTGTTTTTGTGTGTAAGTACAGTATACGAGGGTAGTCCCAGAAGTACCCGACCTAACAAAGAAGACACAAAAAATTTGGTAAAACATATCTATTTTTCAACGTAGTCTCCTTTTAGCTCGATACACTTTTTCCAGCAATGTACAATAGATTCGATCCCCTGTTTATAGTGAGAACTGTCAAGCTTCTCAAAATAGCCATCAACCGCAGACTCCACCTCTTCATTGTTAGCAAATCTTTTATCACTAAGCCATTTTTTTAAGTTTGGAAAGAGAAAATAATCCGAGGGGGCTAAATCTGGCAAATAGGGTGCGTGAGGAAGCAATTTGAACCTTAACTCATTGATTTTGGCCATTGTAATAATAGATGTGTGAACTGGTGCGTTGTCTTGATGAAACAACATTTTCTTTTTTGTCAAATGTGGTCGTTTTTTCTTGATTTTATCACTCAAGCGCTGCAATAAGTTCGCGTAATACTTGCCGTTGGTTGTTTTTCCTGGGCGCATCCCAAAAAACTGATGCCATGACCTTGCCAGCAAATGGAACTGTTTTCGCCTTCTTTGGACCAGATTCTCCCCTTTGTCCATTGTTTTGACTGTTCTTTCGTCTCAGGTGTGAAGTGATGGACCCATGTTTCATCCATGATTATGAATCGAAGCAAAAACTTGGCTTTGTTGCTGCGAAACATTGCCAAAGACTCAATTGAAACATCCTCAGGACGCTGTTTTTGTCCCATTGTGAGCAAACGTGGCACCCATCTTGCGCACAGCTTTCTCATGTCCAAATTTTCAGTTAAAATGCGATGTACAGCACTTTTTGAAATGCCTACCATGTCTGCTAGCTCTCGCACTTTGACTTGACTGTCATCCAATACTATTTTGTGGATTTTTTCCACCATTTCTGGCATGGTCACCTCACTTGGTCAACCACTGACATGTTCATCTTTGCAGCTCATACAGCCTCGTTTAAACTCTGCCACCCAATATTTTATTGTTGTAAACGAGGGAGCAGACTCCCCCAGAGTAGATTCTAGCTCAGCTTTAATATTGGTTGGACTGAAACCTTTCAAATGAAGGTATTGTATCACATAACAATGACAAATTTTTTCCATGTTTACAAATTCACTGAGATTGTTCACTATTTATGGCAGCCAAAAAAATACTATACAATGTAACGTCTTTAAACTTCAAACTTAAGCTTTATAAGGTTGATACTTTCGAACACAGTCGTTTTTTTTTTCAAACAAGTACCGCCATCTATCTCAGGTCGGGTACTTCTGGGACCACTCTCGTAGATATGCTGTTTTAATAGGCCATGTCAAACACTGACTTATTAATTTTGTACAGTATTAATACAGTACTACAATAAAATACAATTTTTTTGTTGTGAAATTCTAAGTCTTTTTGTACCATTAATACCATTTAAATTCAACTGGAAAATACAAAAAAACGTATATTTTGCGAGCTAAAAAATTTCCTCTCCACCGACTGAAACATGTTCAGATTAGCGGTGTTTGGACTAGCAAGACTCTACCGTATGCTATTTATCATTTTAAAACAAATTACTCTTGCCATCATTTTACCATTTCTCTGTATTTTCAGATATTTTGAGAAAATAAGGCTGCAATTACTAATACAGTACTGGTTGCTTTCATCATATCAGATTGCCAAAGTCCAGTTGAAACTTATTACACCATTCACTTGTGTGTGTGTGTGTGTATGTGATAGGCAAGAATCACATTCATAACATGTATTCAAATCCAATTTGAATATACACTGTTGACGAGCACTATGTACACAGTTTAACAATAGTGTCAAAGATATGTACACAATAACATAACAGACAATTCAGTTAAGCTGTCAATACAACCGACATAATTTAAGTAGTTTGATTACATCTAAGCCAAACAAAACTTTCCAGATTCTTAAAATACAATTTATAAAATGTGTTTATAAGTTCACAGTATTTCTAGGCAAACTGTAATTTATATCATTGTTAGTTTTTCTCTTTGTATTTTATGTTGATGGAATTGTATTTAAAATATTACTTTTTTATTATATTTCAAAATATCCTTACCTACAACGTACATATACTTGTATATGTTGATTTTTTCTCGAATCTTTCTGCTTGCTTAAAGACATTTTTTACTTTCTATCGATGGATTTCACTTTTTCGTTCGTTCGTGTTTCTCCCAACATTCAAATAAACCGCTTCAAGTTTGAATTTTTAACTCCAAATATGGCCGTTATGTGTCGCCTCTCGAATCGATAAATAATTATGCGTAATTGTTTTAAGACTCGTATATGACTTAAATAAAGCGTATTAATTCTTTTTAAATGTTTTCCCATATTTCTAATATAAAACTTTCATAATAAATTTTAAAAATAAAAAAAATTACTATTCGTGTAACACACATAATGCCGAATCGTTGCTTAAATCTGCTTTTGATTAAAATTTGAAAATATGGATTAATAACGTTTTTAGGTATTTATTTCGGAAAATGATTTATTTAAAATAAATATACAGTTTAAATTTAAATTATTAAAATAAATGTATGATAAATTTTGGAAGATTTATCTGTAAAATTATTTATCAATTATGATATTGTTCTTATTTTATAAATATAGGAAAAAAGCAAATATTCGAATTATAAAATTTTTTGGTATATTTACTATACAGTACGTTATAAAAATTTCATAATAGTAAAACCTGTCTAAAACGGAAAAAATAATTTTAGTTTGCACAGATGTTACTGTAGTGGTCCGGATTCACGAAAGTGTCGTTAGTTACAACGTCATATTCTCGAGGCTTAGTTAAATACAACAAACTTGCGATATCGTATTTATAATTCACGAACCTCATCATAACCGGATATACTTTTTACGACAAAATATCAATGATCTGATTTCGAGAGTATACTGTTTCGTCCAATAGGAACACAGTCCGAGAACTTTCAAATTACATGAGTTGTCTTCGACATGAGATCGTTGATAAAATGGAAAAGAGTAAAAGTCTTGTACTTCTTCCGAAATACAGACGTTGAAAGATGGAGTCGAAAAAAATAAAAAAAATAATAATAGAAGGGAGGATAGATCAAACTGTTACTTCTCGCGGAACACGTAATTATTGGAGATTAAGCTTAATTTGCAAACAAGTGAAATGTTTTTTCTTTTTTTAACTCGATAGTATCAGATTGGAGATAGTATTGGAGAGGCGTACATGTATAGCATACTATTCTCTTAACACTTTGGAGGATCCGGGATCGAATCCGGACGGGTCGAAAAATTCCTGGGAATTTTTTGATCAGGGGGTGGTCCGTCTGGATATGTCGGGCCCCATCCGTCACCACCCGGTCCCCCCATTGTGGGCCTGGCCGAACCTATAATGGGCTTGCTAAAAGAGGCCCTCTAATTTTTTTTAACCTTTTTTTAAACTCTTTTCCCAGGGTGGAGAGTTAAAAAGATTCATTTTGATTGGTCTTATATAACGAACAGAATTATATAAATGTATATTATTATTTCAAATATTTATTACATTCCCACAAAAATATTTATAAATTTAATAAACATGTATTAAAATAGTTTGTAATATTAATTTCGAATGAGAATTACAAACTTGAAGTGAGATGGCACTAGAGTCGACTGAATTTCCATATCGCAGAAATAGCATTCCCTCGTTAATCTGGACTAATTATTGTATGTAGTTGTTCGGATTAGCGGGATTATATGTAAAGAAAATAAAGTTGAAGATGGAATATGTACTGTACAAATTAAATTCGCTGGATTCATTAAAAATTAATATGACTTTTTCAAAACATTTTCATTATTCTACTCATTATTAAATTTTCGTTATTTAATATATATATATA